GCCTACCGGTCACTCGCTCTCAGCTCCACCTTCGGACGAGTCCGTAGAGCCGAGTGGCCCGTATCCAGAGCTTGTGGGCTGCCTCATGTACGTGTTGACCTACACTCGACCTGACCTTGCCTACCCTCTTAGCATCATGGCACGCTACGTTGCGCTTGGGAGACACCGACCAGAGCAGTGGGAGGCTGCTAAGAGGGTGTTGCGCTACTTGTGCAGTACATCGGGCATGGGGCTCGTGCTTGGAGGACGGGCTCGAGTTGTCCTCACTGGTCACGCTGACGCCTCCTGGGTTGACGACTTGGCTACGCAGCGGTCGTCACAGGGTTACACCTTCAGCCTTGGCTCCGATTCTGTCTCCTGGCGGTCTACCCGCTCTTCTTCTGTTCTCAGCTCCAGTTGTGAGGCTGAGATCTACGCTGGGGCCAGGGCTGCACAGGAGCTTCGCTGGCTCACCTACCTGCTGACCGACTTGGGAGAGGCACCTCGTTCTCCTCCAGTTCTGTACGTCGACAACAAGGCCATGCTGGCCTTGTGTCAGGAGCACAGACTGGAGCACAGAACGAAGCACATTGCTCTGCGCTACTTCCTTGCTCGAGAGTTGCAGCAGCGTGGCCAGCTTCGTCTTGCTTACGTGGCCTCTCAGGCCAACACTGCTGATGTCTTCACCAAGGCACTTCAGACTTGTGATCATCAGCGTTTCTGTACTGTGTTAGGCCTTGTACCTACTGTGCCTCACTTGTTGACTTCTTGACTCTGCTTGTACTGTACTCTATATACTTATACCTGCATGCTTACACTTGCTAGGTTGTGTTCACTGTACTGTTTACTTTCCTTTATATAACTCTGCATGTGAACTGGCCTTATGGCCCTTTGCTTGTGCTCAGACTGTGTGGTGACTTTGTGATCCACCCTGAGCTTGCTTTGCTTTTCTTGACTGGTCTTGTGACCTCTTGTTCTCCCCCACTTTGCCTATGGGGGTGTGTCAAACTTCTATCTGCTATGGTCTATTTAGGCTGTAGTGGGGTAGCTCTTAGTGGGTACAACACTTATGTGTTTCCTATATGTACCCATCTCATTTCTAGTTCATTCATTCTTTCGTCTATCATTCTCACACGGAGGTACTGGTTTTGGTTGATGCTGATAGTTGTTGTTGTTGTAGCGCCGTTGTGTGTGGAATGCGAATGCAGGTACTGATGCCTTCTTGTTGTGTCGTTCTTCTTGCAGGTCCATATCTTGCTGCTCAGCGTGGATCTCGACGCAGAGTGCTGCTTCTGATATTTTTCCGTGGGCTCGGAGTATGGCACGGGTAGAGCGCCACTGAGGACCGAGGCCGCCGATGATGACTGTGATGAAGGCGTCTTCTGAAATTGACCCTCCGCATCGAAGGAGTTTGTCGCGCAATTCGCGACAACGGCTGATATACGCCATCCCCTTTTCGCCCGGTTTCATTTCGATTGTTGTTAGTTGCCCGTGTCAGAATGTTATGTTTTGTCTAGCCTGCAGTGGGGTACTCAATAGTGAGTACAACCCAATTTAGGGTTTGCTATATGTACTCAACTGCTTGCTAGTGAAACCCTCTTTCTCATTTCTAACTTCCTTTGGTTTCTTAACATGGAATCAGAGCAGGTCGACCCCCTCGGGTCGATCCTGTGTATGGGCCCACCCAACACTTCCGCTGCTGCTACTCTGTCTATCGCGCGCCTCGGGCGCGCGCTGCCTTCTTGCCTGCCGCGCGCCATGGGCGCGCGGCCATTTTTCTTCCCGCCGCGCGCTCGAGGCGCGCGGCGGTTTTCTGACCGTCACGCCGCCCTGGGGGCCGCGCGACGCCCTTATCTGCCCGTCGTGCGCCCCGTGGCGCGCGGCGGTGCCCTGCCCGTCGCGCGCCCCGGGGCGCACGGCGGTTTCGTCGCCCGGGGGGCTCGTGCGCGGCCCCCCCTCGTCGCCCGTCGCGGCGCCTACGGGGGCCCGCGCGGCCCGCGGCCCCCCCCAGGGTCGCCTCGACAGGCGACGGGAGGGGCGACTGATGGGGGGGGCCGCGCGTCGGTCCCTCCCGTCGTCGTCCCGGCCCTGCCCCGTCCCGGACCTGTCCCAGCCCCGACCCTGTCCCGGCCCTGCCCCGGCCCCGTAGCGGCCCCGTCCCGGACCTGCCCCGACCCTGCCCCCCGCCTTTTCCCGTCGCCCGTCGCGGCGCCCGGGGGGGGGGGCGCGGGGGGGGGGGGGGGGGGGGCGCGCTTCGCCCCTCCGGTCTTCGTCGCGGCCCTGCCCAACTGCCGCCCCTGCTGCTGCCCTGCCCTGTGTTGGGGTTTGGGGGTGGCGAGTGTGGGGGTGACGAATGTGAGTGGTCTCCCCTACTCCTCCTCCTCCTCCGTCTCCCACTGCTGCAGCTGCCGCTGAGGGGGGTGGGTGTGTGGGAGCCTATGGAGTGGTGCTAGGGGGTGGAGTATGAGCAGTGCTAGAGGTGCAGCAGGGGGTGTGTGAAAGGGGGGTGAGACAGTTAGAGGATGTTGGGCGGAGGCAGCTGTCGTGTCGCCAGCAGCGCCAGTAGTCCGGAGGCTACAATCTCCGGTAGCCCAGCGAGCCTGCTGCGCCAGTCGCCCGTGGGTCTGTTGCTCCTGCAGCTCAGAGTTAGTCGTGGAGCCAGTTACTCTAGTAGTCCGGAGGCTACAATCTCCGATAGCCACAGTGCGCGCCGCTCCTGTTGCCCGTGTGTCTGCAGCTTCACCTGTCGTCTCCTATCTCTTCTCCTCTCACAGTCCCTCCTCCTCCTCACTTACCATCTGTGACTGCCTCTAGCTTTGCTTATATTTGTGAACTATAAACTGCTACTTCTTGTACTTGTGCTCAGAATGTGTGGTGACTTTGTGATCCACCCTGAGCTTGTTTTGCTTTGCTTGTTGTGTTGATTACACCCCACTTTGGCTATGGGGGTGTGTCAGAATGTTATGTTTTGTCTAGCCTGCAGTGGGGTACTCAATAGTGAGTACAGCCCAATTTAGGGTTTGCTATATGTACTCAACTGCTTGCTAGTGAAACCCTCTTTCTCATTTCTAACTTCCTTTGGTTTCTTAACAGCCCCATTAACCGACTTTGATTGACGCTGTCTATTTCTTGATACAGGTTCTTCAGGTGGTTGTACGCGAGCTCTGCAGAGTTGCCGTATCCCCGGTAAGACCGTATATTCTGCCGCTGATTCGGAGTGATGTTTCTCAGCAATATTGTGTACGCCATCATTGACTGATACGTGTACTGCTGCTTGTCGTAATATGTGCCGTGTGTTGGATATGGCAGGGACCCGTCGAAAAAGCCAAGGATCTGCGCGCCTTCCATCATTAACTCGAACTCGAATGACCAGGTAAAGAAATCCTTTCCGTCGAAAGGCCTTGTCGTTTGCAGTTTTAAGACATGCGCGAACTGCGACTGAACTTGAAGTGCGTCCAGTGTCTTTTCTTGTCCAGATGCGGGCTGCGGGTGTGTCATAAAGCTGACGGAGCCACGCTGGGGCTCGTACGGATCAAAGGTAGGCTGTTGCTGTTGATTTCCTCGTGCGTAGGATGATCCGTCGAGACTCATCGGCGTTGCGTTGTTGTTGTTTCTGTTGTTTGACTGTGCAGGTACCCCTTGCTGGTGTTGTTCGTAGAAGGACATGAAGGAGAAGAACTTCTCCATCATGTCTGGGTCGAAGGCCGCGACTTGATTTGCGGGAGTTTCTGAAGACGTTGCTCTTGGCCTTGTTGGCGTACCCTCCTCTGTCTGTAGGCCAGAGGCAGGAGGTGGAGTAGGAGTAGTACCGGGAGAGCCGTTAGAGGAGCTTCTCTCCTTCTGCGTTGCCATGTCTTGTGATGTTGTAGGTGTCTTGATCGTAGTTGAATTTGTCGTGACTGCTCTCATACCATGTTGGGCTGAGGAAGCCCTTAGGATCTTTTGCAGGACAAAATTCAAGGTAGGATGATGTAATAGCGGAAGCGTTAATGAAAGACTTGTGAACCACCTTGCGCTGGTATGTGAGGGCAAAGTTGATTGACTAAAACAAAGAGATACAAGCTTTTATAAGGATACAAGGAATATGAAGAGATATGGTTAATAACCGTTTTACTATTGCTGTTGCGGTTCGATACAGTGTCGACTCGGGCAACTGCTCAGTAGCGAGTCAGTTGTTTGTCCTTGCTGTCGCGCTGTATTTGTCAGGTCAAAGGTCGCTGACCTTTGACTTTCGCGTAACCTGCAGCAGTTGTTCAACCTCCGAGGGTTGACTCGCTGATGTTTCGATATGATCTGCTTCGCTCTTGTCTTGGTGTTTCGACACGACAGAGGCGCTTAAATCAATTGTTTCCAACAGTACGTACCATGGAAGCTATTTCTGAACGTGTTTATTGCGAACCTTTTGACGTATTCAGCGCGAAATTGTCGCGCGTCATTGAAGACCCATGTCTATAGTAGTCATTGAAGGGTTACAAACAGAAAATAGTTTAAACATTCATGGGACACGCCCTAACCTATTTTAACCTAGTTTTAAACATTCTATGTTCATTGAGTAATTACCTAGTTTGTGTGCATTTCAGTTCATGTGGTGAAACCCGCGCACTTATAACACGCAGCCTATATCAGCATAGCGTTTATCACTGAACACTACTGAGATCACAGCAGCAACTGGACCTTCAAATCCCCTGTCCTACAGAACGCCCCTACCGTCCCGCAGCAGGCGCCGGTCAATCTCTCCTCGCACGGCGTAACTCAATCCGCGCCGGGTCTCGCTCCGCAGCGAGGGCCATCCGCATTCACCTCGCCTGTCTGGCGTCAACACTTGCTTCCCCCGCCCTCGCCGCGCGAAGCGCCATGGCGCGTGGCGTCGCGCTGTGGCTGCTGCTGCTCGCCATGGCCACGCACGCAGGTGAGCCGCCGAGTGGAGTTGCGCGCCGAGCGCGTTGAGGCACCTCGCGGGCGGATCGGAGGGTGCGCCCGTCGCTGCCCTCGCCGCACACGCGACTGCAACACGCGGCGCTATGCCTGCTGTGGTCGCCCCTCCCCTCACTGCCCCTCCCCTCACTGCCCGTCCTCACACTGCCCCTCCCCTGCCCCTCCCCTTACTGCCCCTCCCCTCACTGCCCCTCCCCTCACTGCCCCTCCCCTCACTGCCCCTCTCGCCCCTTCCCTCACCGCCCCTCCTCCCTCTCAGCCCTGCCACCCCTCGCATGCTCCCCTCGCACTCTCTTCGCCACATTGCTCCTTACTCGTTACTTCCCTCCCTCCCTCAATCGATCCCCTTTCCCCATCCAAACCCACTCCATCTGCACCGTTTCTCCACTCCTCTCCTTTCCTCGCCTCGCTCATGGAATTGCATTCCACATCTCTCTAACCTCTTACTTCCTGCAGCTGCTCTCCTCCTTGCACCTCATTTCTCCTCTTCCTCGCACCGCTCGCCCCTCACTGCCTTTCCTTCTCCCCTTCTCCTCTTCCAATTTTCTCTTCTCTTCTCTTCTCATCTCTATACTTCTCTCCTCTTCCTCTTCTCCTCTCTTATCCTCTTCACTTCTCTCATCTTTCTCTTCTCTCCTCTTCCTCTTCCCTCCTCTTCCTCTTCAATCCTCTTCCTCTTCTCTCCTCTTCTCCTGTTCTCTTCTCATCTCTTCCTCTTCTTCCCTCGTCTCCTCTTCTCTTCTCATCTTTTCTCTTCTCTTCTCTGCTTCACTTCTCATCTCTTCCTCTTCTCTCGTCTTCCTATCTTCTCTTCTCCTTTTATCCTTTTCCACACCGAAAGCTCAGGACCATGTGGCATGCGCATACTACCACCCATGCATGTACTTATCAAGCCCCTCTAACTCTTCCCCCTCACCTGCTCTCCCCCCCAGCGCCCACAGCGGTGCGCTTCCACGTGGAGCAGCACGCCAAGTGTGTGGGCCACGACCTGCGCCAACACACGCTCGTCGCCGCCTCCTACGCCGCCGTGCCCACCAGCCACCCGCACCCCTTCATGCTTGACATCTCCGAAAGTGCTGCCACCCACTGCACGTCCCCTCTCCACATCCTTGCACGTCCCCTCTTCACATCCTTGCACATTCATGCGGATACACCCATCCATGTGTCCGACACTTGCTTGCTTTCAACGATGTCGATTCTGCCAACCACCATTCCTCTCGTTCATCTCCACGCCTCCCAATTGGTGTGTTGTGATGGCGCAGGTGACCTCCCCGGGCGGCATTCACGTGTATTTGAAGGAGGGGGTGAGCGAGGGGCAGCTGGGGTTCACAGCAGAGGAGAGCGGCGAGTACCACCTGTGCTTCTGGCTTAATGGCCACCACGTGGGGCGCCATGACGAGGCGCGGCAGCAGGTGGAGGTGGCGTGGCGTGAGGGGCAGGCGGCGTCACACATGCAGCAGGCCGCCACCAAGGAGAGGGTGGAGGTAGGGGGGTGTGTCTGCGCACTCGCCATGCCTGCACTCGCCATGCCTGCACTCGCCATGCCTGCACTCGCCATGCCTGCACTCGCCATGCCTGCACTCGCCATGCCTGCACTCGCCATGCCTGCACTCGCCATGCCTGCACTCGCCATGCCTGCACTCGCCATGCCTGCACTTGCCATGCCTGCACTCGCCATGCCCGCACTCGCCATACCTGATTCGAATGCTTCCTCACAGCAGTTTCTGCTATGTGACGACGCTGTGCTGTGAGCCAAGCCACGCCACGCATGCACACCTGCTCACCCTCTCCCTTCCCCCGATGCCCTTTGCTTGCTTCTTGCTGCTTGTGGGTCACTGGCTGTGGGTGCTGTGGTGATGTGGTGGGTGTGGTGGTGGGTGTGGTGGTGGGTGCGGTGGTGGGTGTGGTGGTGGGTGCTGTGGTGGGTGTGGTGGTGGGTGTGGTGGTGGGTGTGGTGGGGGGTGTGGTGGTGGGTGTGGTGGTGGGTGTGGTGGTGGGTGTGGTGGGGGGTGTGGTGGGGGGTGTGGTGGTGGGTGTGGTGGTGGGTGTGGTGGGGGGTGTGGTGGGGGGTGTGGTGGTGGGTGTGGTGGTGGGTGTGGTGGTGGGTGTGGTGGTGGGTGTGGTGGTGGGTGTGGTGGTGGGTGTGGTGGTGGGTGTGGTGGTGGGTGTGGTGGTGGGTGTGGTGGTGGGTGTGGTGGTGGGTGTGATGGTGGGTGTGATGGTGGGTGTGGTGGTGGGTGTGGTGGTGGGTGTGGTGGTGGGTGTGGTGGTGGGTGTGGTGGTGGGTGTGGTGGTGGGTGTGGTGGTGGGTGTGGTGGTGGGTGTGATGGTGGGTGTGGTGGTGGGTGTGGTGGGGGGTGTGGTGGGGGGTGTGGTGGTGGGTGTGGTGGTGGGTGTGGTGGTGGGTGTGGTGCTGGGTGTGGGGGGGGGTGTGGTGGTGGGTGTGGTGGTGGGTGTGGTGGTGGGTGTGGTGGTGGGTGTGGTGGTGGGTGTGGTGGTGGGTGTGGTGGTGGGTGTGGTGGTGGGTGTGGTGGTGGGTGTGGTGGTGGGTGTGGTGGTGGGTGTGATGGTGGGTGAGATGGTGGGTGTGGTGGTGGGTGTGGTGGTGGGTGTGGTGGTGGGTGTGGTGGTGGGTGTGGTGGTGGGTGTGGTGGTCGGTGTGGTGGTGGGTGTGGTGGTGGGTGTGGTGGTGGGTGTGGTGGTGGGTGTGATGGTGGGTGTGGTGGTGGGTGTGGTGGGGGGTGTGGTGGGGGGGTGTGGTGGTGGGTGTGGTGGTGGGTGTGGTGGTGGGTGTGGTGGTGGGTGTGGTGGTGGGTGTGGTGGTGGGTGTGGTGGTGGGTGTGGTGGTGGGTGTGGTGGTGGGTGTGGTGGTGGGTGAGGTGGTGGGTGTGATGGTGGGTGTGGTGGTGGGTGTGGTGGTGGGTGTGGTGGTGGGTGTGGTGGTGGGTGTGGTGGTGGGTGTGATGGTGGGTGTGGTGGTGGGTGTGGTGGTGGGTGTGGTGGTGGGTGTGGTGGTGGGTGTGGTGGTGGGTGTGGTGGTGGGTGTGGTGGTGGGTGTGGTGGTGGGTGTGGTGGTGGGTGTGATGGTGGGTGTGGTGGTGGGTGTGGTGGTGGGTGTGGTGGTGGGTGTGGTGGTGGGTGTGGTGGTGGGTGTGGTGGTGGGTGTGGTGGTGGGTACTGTGGTGCTGGGGTGGGTGCTGTGGGTGTGATGTGGTGATGTGGGGGGGGGGGGGTGGCATGCAGAGCTTCGAGTGGGAGGTGAAGCGGCTGGAGGGGCTGGTGGAGGCGGCTTCGAATGAAATGATCTTCTTCCATGAGAGGTGTGCCGCACTCATGCCTGCTGTGCTGCATCAAGTGCTGCTGTGCTGCATACGCAGAGAGTGTATGGGCAGGCTCTGTGCAGGAGGGGGTTGGGTATTGTGTGGTGAGGAGGGTGTGTGGGCTTTGGCAGGAAAAGTGTACCGGTTTGGCAGGGAGTGCACACGAGGGAGGGATGGCACGTGGTACGATGCATGGCAGCTGTGTGAGGGCCTGCATGTGGTGCTGGAGGAGGAGGAGCAGCAGCTGGAAGGCCATCCCCCCCTCCTTGCTTCACCCTACTCGTTTCATGCTGCCCAGCTTCCCGTGATGCCCCTTGCCTGGCTGCAGGGAGGAGGAGCTGCGAGGCATGTCCAAGGCCACCCACGAGCGTGTGGGGTGGCTCAGTGCCGTGTCGCTGCTCACATGCTCTGTGCTGGCTGCTCTGCAGTTCTGGCATCTCAAGACCTTCTTCGAGCGGAAGAAGGTCCTCTGATGCGCGACTCATTACAAGCGAACAGCGCTGTCTAGCTGTATACATCATCCAGGCAGTAGCTGTAACTGTTTGGATGGCACAATTGATTGCAGTAGTGTAACATCGGAACTTGCCATATGTTATCAGGCTACACTGTTGGAACTGAAGCTTTGAATCGATCCATTAGTAATGAGCTCAAAGCTATTTAAGTACATCAAAAATGAGCAAGGTATGGATGGGGATGATGTTGGTGTACACTGTACACCTAACCAACACAAAGTGCAAACCACACTAAGCTAGGATATAAAAAAGTACAAGTACAAAAGTCGAGATTGAGGGCTAACAACACTAACATACAATACACTGAATCCTGATTTTCAGGGTGTTTTTGGGGCTCAACCTTGAGATTTCAAGGTCGTCGTTGTTGGAAACAATTGATCTTAAGCGCCTCTGTCGTGTCGAAACACCAAGTCAGAAGCGAAGCGGAACATATCGAAGCACCAGCGAGTCAACCCTCGGAGGTTGAACATCTGCTGGAGGTTACGCGAAAGTCAAAGGTCAGCGACCTTTGACCTGACAAGTACAGCGCGACAGCAAGGACAAACAACTGACTCGCTACTGAGCAGTTGCCCGAGTCGTCACTGTATCGAACCGCAACAGCAACGGTAAAACGGTTATTAGTTATAACCCTTCATATTCCCTTGTATCCTTATAAAAGCTTGTATCTCTTTGCTATTAATCAATCTACTTTGCCCTCACATACTAGCGCAAGGTGGTTCACAAGTCTTTATTTAACGCTTCCGCTATTACATTGTCCTACCCCGAATTTAGTCCTGCAAAGATCCTAAGGGCTTTCTCAGCCCAACAGTCGTAACCCGGCGTGGATTTTCAGGATAAATACTTATACGATGGCATGATTTTTCAGTGTTCTGCTTCCTTTTGCACTGAGGCCTCAGGGAGTCCATCAGGGTTTGCCCTGACGCGGATGCCATGGATATGGGGAAGGGGGGCAGGAAGGGGTGTGTGTGTGGTGGAGGGGGGGAGGGGGAGGGGGAGGGGGGGGTTGTCAACATACACATACCGTATTCTCCCGGACATAACACCCGCCGGGTAGCTTTTGCGGGGTGGGTGTTATGATATGTTGGAAACATATAGTTCGCACTTCTGATGTGTCGAACACTACAACATAAGCAAAGCGAACTACAAAGCAACAGCGAGTCAACCAAAGTGGTTGACAGAAAGACAACAGCAAGAGGTTAAGTGAAGGTCAAAGGTCAGCGACCTTTGACTCGCCGAAAAGCAGCGCAACAGCAAGGACACATAACTGACTCGCTATTGAGCAGTTACCCGAGTCGTCGCTGTATCGAACCGCAACAGCAGTTACAGTTAGTTAAGCCTTTCATATTCATTGTAATCATGTAAAGCCCTGTATCTCTTTGCTATTATCAACTTATCTTGTTCTCACATACCAGTGCAAGGTGGTTCAATCAGTTCACTAATACGCTTCCGCTAATACATCACTATTCCGAGCCTTAGTCTTGAAACGATCATAAGGGCTTTTCTCAGCCCAACATGGTATCAGAGCTTGCAAGACAAGACTCAACTCTGTTCAACTTCCTACAACAACAGAAGACATGGCAACACAGAAAGAAAGAAGCTCATCTACTGGATCTCCCGGCACCACTCCTACTCCACCGCCAGCCTCTGGACTGCAGACAGAAGGAGGCACAACTCAACGACCAGCTGCTGAGTCAACTAAAACCCCTGCGAACCAAGCAACCGGCTTCGACCCAAGTATGATGGAGAAGTTCTTCTCCTTCATGTCATTCTACGAGCAACATCAACAAGCGGCACCTGCGCAGTCAAACACGCGTGTGTATTCTTTAGACTAGGTTGGATTGCACTATAGAGGGTATGGGTTTGCTAGATATACCCCCTTAGTATGCCCTCCTTCCTCATGTTTTCAGTTCGTGATATGGTATCATATTAGGTTAGGTTCTCGTCCCGCTTCCACACCACCCACCTCCCTAGCTGCCCTCGTGCGCTCACGGACCCCTCTAGCAGCCCCCCTCTAGCGGCCGCCTCAAGCGCCCTCTAGCGCCCTCTAGCGACCCCCTGTAGTGCCCAGTCACTGCCCCCTTCTAGCGGCCCCGTCGCGCTATCGTCACTCCCCACCGCGCCCTACCGACGCGCCCCGTCGCGCCCCACCGTCGCGCCCCTCTCGCGCCCTGCAGCGCCCCGCTGCGTCTGCAGCATGCCCTTTGTCGCCCGCTGCCACTCGCGCCTGCCGCGCCCGGGCCTGCCGCCCCAGCTCCTGCAGCCGCCGCGCCTGCCACGCGCTTTGCCACACGCATACCACACGCCTACTGCGCCCGCCCTGCTCCTGCCGCGTGCCCAGCCGTGCACTGCTGCGTGACTTGCCGCGCCCTGCCGCGCGACATGTCGCACACTGCCGCGCCCACCACATGCCTGATGCCCACCCTGCCGCGCCCTGCCGCGTGCTCTTATAGTCTAGAGTCCACTTAGGGGTCGCGGATGTCCATGAAACCGCCTAAGCAGAATCTGATGACTTCGAACCGCCTCTGTAAAAAAAGCCGTCACGATCAGCTCCAATAATATACGAGGCTGAAACTTGGATAGAAGTTAGCTTCAGGTGTCTGATTTCAAACGGTATATTGCTTGCTTTCATCAGAGGTGTATGCGCTACGCAATGAACGAAAACGTAAGCTCGGCTGAAAACGTGTAGTTTCATTGATGCAAGGAAGAGGTGAGTACAACATTGCCTAGGGGACTCTTATGAGCTTGGGACCATCCTGGGAACTCAGAGAAGGTTGATTCCTAGGGGAGAAAGGCTAGAGAAGGATGGGAAACGTCATAGCTAGGTCAGCAAAGCCAACCACACTTGGATGTTCAGAGCTGTACTCAAGGCTACCAATAGTGAGTCAAGCCAACCATGAGTCAGCTTGTCTTCCCACTTGCACCCTCTTGCAAGCTGCTTCCAGGAAGACCACACTTCTCAAAAGGAGGGTGGTAGAGTCCCACTTGAACACTTGTACTTCTTGTCCCATTCTCTATCCCTGCACCATTGGCATGACAACAATGAAAGGGTGGCAAGGAAAATGCTGCCAACAGTGCAACATGACTACGGAACAGTAACTTTTGACATCTGGCACGTGCTCCTCCGATGCTGGGTTGTCCTAAAACTCGGTGACCACCTGAGCAACACGGCACAAGACTGCCACACCGATTTTTAGACCAATCAGATCTTGGTAGATGAGTCAGCAGCCGGAATGGTGAACTCGGGTGTTGAAAAAAAAGAGTAACACACACTTCCGGGATGCCATAAGTTTTGAAACTAAAAATGTTGGCATGCCTTGTAAACTGCTTCCAAAAATCTGAAACTTTGATGGTGTGAAGAAAACATGTTGAAGCACCTCCCCACAAAATTCCAGAAGCTGAGCAGGCTTGTAGGCTGAATGGGAGTGCGATGACCGAACCACTATAGTGCTTTGGCACAACAAACTCCCCCTCATCATGCTCTCATTCATCCCTTAGCTGCTCCCTGAAGCTGCCTCCCTTAGTTGAAGGACATGCCACACAAGGTGGCACAGCTCCAATGCTGATGCTCTGCAAGCCGTTTAGTCAAGAAATCTGCAGGTTGCTTGGTAGTGTTGATGTAGTGCAAGGAGATGGTGCCCTTCTTCACCTCCTTCCTCACCCAATGCCACTTGATATGCATGTGCTTGTTCAGCCCATGGAGCATAGCATTACTCGCCATTGCGATTGCTCCTTGGCTGTCACAAAACACAGGTGTAGGACCCCCTTGCTCCTGCCCCAACTCCTCAAGCAACCTCCTCATCCAAACCACCTCGTTCAGTCCATGAAACAACGCCATGTATTCGCTCTCCATTGATGAGTGAGCTATCTCTCCTTGCTTCTTAGACTTCCAGCTCACTGGACTCCCTCCAACATAGCATATATAGCCACCATGGGATGTAGCATCACTGATGTCACTTGCCGAGGTAGCATCGGTGAAGCATGAGAGGTACAAGTGCCCACGCCTTGCAGGTGCACCAGTCCTTGTGCTCACCTCCTCCACTCCCTTTTGCTTCAGCTGCCCATGAACCGAATATTGCAGCCCCATCCTTGAGGTTGCCATGCAGTACCTCACCAGTCTCTCTGCTGCATCCAGGTGCTCTTGAAGGGGCCTAGACACCACACGAGCGAGCTGTGAAACTGAAAACGCAATGTCGGGGCGAGTGTTGACCGAAGCGTACATCAAGCTCCCCACCATTGACTGGAACCGACGCTGCAACTCGTACTCCAACACCTCACCATCCTCTTTATCAAGGTGCAGCTGAAACCCTGAGGGTAGAGGAGTCTTCAGACTCCTCCCTTCCTCCAGCCCATACTTCTCCCCCATGGCTGCAAGGTACTTGTGTTGGTGAAGCCTCAACCATCCCTTCACCTCGTCCCGCTCCACGTGAAGACCAAGGTAATACCCCACTGGTCCACGGACCTTCCATTGAAAGGTCTCCTTCAGCTTCCCTTGCACCTCCTTGATCCTCTCCAGGGATGGAGAGAAGAGGAGGATGTCATCGACGTAGACAAGGAGAAATACCTTCTCCTCCTCCCCCTCGGTCATGAAGAGACTCTCATCGCACCCGCTAACTTTGAAGCCAAGAGCCTCCAACGCCTCCACCAGCCTTGCATACCAGCACCTTGGAGCTTGTTTGAGGCCATAGATGGCCTTGTTGAGCCTGCAAACACGTCCTCTCCCATCATCATACCCCTCTGGCTGCTTCATGTAGATCTCCTCATCTACCACGCCATAGAGGAACGCCATCTTCACATCCATTTCTCCACCTTCCAGCCACAAACGGCAGCGGCTGCTAGCAACAACCGGACTGTAGGAGCCTTGGCAACAGGAGCAAACACCTCTTGAAAGTCAATTCCCTCCCTCTGCTGAAAGCCTTTGATCACAAGCCTTGTCTTGCGCCTCTCCAACCTCCCCTCCGCATCGGTCTTTACACGTAACACCCACGTGCAGTCCAATGCCTTCCTTCCTGGGGGAAGATTGGTAAGGGTCCATGTTTCATTCTCCATGTGGCTCTGGAACTCATCCTCCCTTGAAGCCAGCCACGCCTCTCGATCATCTCCAGCGAGAGCTTCCTCCATTGACGCCGGCTCATGAGGTAAGTTGACGCCAAAGCAACAAATCTGCTCCATCTCTCCCTCGGCTCCTTTCTCCTCCTCATATTCCTCCTCTTGGACTAGCAATGCCTTGGGAACCCCAAGCCTTTCATACTTGAGGAAATCCCTTGGGTGGGCAGCTCTCTTGGGCCTCTCCTTGGCTGCTCCTTCCTTGGCTCCACCACGGACAGCATCACGCTTCCCTTGGGTTGTGCGCCTTGGTGGAAGCTTAGGGGATGGTGTAGGCTGCTGCACCTCCTCCTCGGTTTCACCTCTCTCAGCTATAGGGGCCTCCCCTTGCTGTAGTACGTCTTCCACATCTGCTGAAAGCCTTTGATCACAAGCCTTATCTTGCGCCTCGCCAACCTCCCCTCTGCATCGGTCTTCACACGTAACAACCACGTGCAGTCCAACGCGTTCCTTTTTGGGGGCAGATTGGTAAGGGTCCATGTTTCATTCTCCATGTGGATCTGGAACTCATCCTCCCTTGAAGCCAGCCATGCCTCTCGATCATCTCCACCAAGTGCTCCCTCCATTGAAGCCGGTTCAAGAGGTAAGTTGACGCCAAAGCAACAAATCTGCTCCATCTCCCCCTCGACTCCCTTCTTCTCATCTTCCTCCTCCTGGACCAGCAATGCCTTGGGACCCCCAACCCTTTCATACTTGAGGAAATCCCTTGGGTGGGCAGCTCTCTTGGGCCTCTCCTTGGTTGCTCCTTCCTTGGCTCCACCACGGACAGCATCACGCTTCCCTTGGGTCGTGCGCCTTGGTGGAAGCTTAGGGGATGGTGTAGGCTGCTGCACCTCCTCCTCGGTATCACCTCTCTCAGCTACAGGGGCCTCCCCTTGCTGCAGTACTCCTTCCACATCTGCTGCCTCCCCTTCAGCACCTCCCAAGTCATGTGACACCTCTGTCAACTCTGAAGATGAGGACAACTCGATGGGAATGAGAAGTGGGTCGTTGGTTCCCACCTCTATTCTAAGCGGAATGGTGACCTTGCTCCTCCCCCGCTTCGACCACTCCTTGAACATGAGCCCCTCCATGAACTTGGCATCTCTGGTGGTGAAGATGGTGTTGGATTTTGGGTCCCACATGAGCCAGCCCTTGCTCCCCCGTGCAAGACCCAAATGAACAGCCCACACCGCCGCCGCTTGAAGCTTGTCACGCTTCTCCTTAGGGACATGCACGAGCCCCATGCACCCGAAGACACGAAGCATATCCACCAGGGGCTTCTTGCCACTCCACTTCTCCATAGGGACCCAATGCTGACCTCCCACATGAGTAAACACCTGGTTCTTGATGACGGTAGCATGACGAATAGCGTGGGGCCAGAACCGCAAGGGTAGACCCGAGTCCGCCAATATCGTTCTCCCGCCCTCTATGATGGTCCGGTTCGCTCTCTCTGCCACGCCGTTGGACTGAGGGGTGTAGGCCGTGGTGAGCTGCTGCTTGATGCCGTGCTGCTTCAACCAGCTCCAGAACTCCGCTCCCAAAAACTCCCCACCACGGTCGCTACGAATCGCCTTCACCCGCTTCCCGCTCTCTCGCCCCACCATGGGCAGCCACTCTTCAATGATGACCCTTGCAGCATCACTCTTCTTTGAAAGTGGAAAAGACCAGGTGAGCCTTGTGTAATCATCCTTCATAGTCATGGAATACAAGGCCCCACCATCTCCCTTCACCTTCATGGGCCCTACAAGATCCACATGAACGAGCTGCACTGGGTCAAGCAAGTCTCACAAGAGCCCACCTCCTTGGGCTCCCCCTTTATCCTCAGCCCCTTGACTCTTTCCTCCTTAAACAACTGCTGTAACTGAGGTAGCGCCACGTTGCCAAAGCGATGGTGTGCCGTGAGCCAATCTGTCTCACCCGTGCTAGGAGTTACACTTGGTAGCGCACCCTCCCCATGCACAAGCAGCCCACCTTCACTGCCATCATCACCTCCTCCACTGGTTACGTGGCTTGCATGCCCTCCTCTTACAGCTTCAGCAGCCAAGCGCGCAGCCGCCTCCTTCAATGGCAGCACCGGTATCTCCTACATGGACCGGTGCATGTCCTTGCCGCCTCGGAGGTCCCACAACACGCGCCCATCTAGAGTTGCCTTGAACACCTTTGTGCCCATCATCTCCATATTCATCCCTGCCTCACTCAATGCCTTGGTAGAGAGAAGGTTGGCACATAGTCCAAGGACAAGAAGAACACGCTTCAGCCCCACAAGCCTCC